CCGATAAATTTTGCTTCGTATTATCGGAATCCTGTTTTCTGATTGGTTGCAGAGCTTCGTACGATGAAAATCGGATGCAGTGTGAATCCAGCAATAGGGGGTCAGAGTGGAGAGAGCCGCCAGCGTTTTGACGCTGCGTGAAATTGCACCTTAATACTATCCTTGTCTCACGTCTAAGTCCGAATCTACAATAGGTGTTTTAAGACTTAAGCCATAAGAAACTGACCAATTATAGTCGAATCCGAGGGGAATAATCGACTGTAATTCGCCCATTTCTTATGGCTTAAGGCTTAAAACCCGATTGTAGATCCGGAGTAATGGACGGTAAAGATAGAATGACACAAATAGCCCTAAGGCCGGAATCAGACTAGGCATTGAAGATTGAGATTGAAGATTGAAAGATTGAAATTTGACCAATCAAAACAATAGGAGCTAAAATTCCTTTGCCCTCATTGGTCAAATTTCAATCTTCAATCTTCGATCTCAATCTTCAATGCGTAGTCTGATTCCGGCCTAAAAGCGCTCCCCGAACGCAGCCGAGATCTGTTCGCGTTGCTTACACTTTTGGCACTCGACATCTTCGCTTTTTCTCTTTTCAAGGCCAAATATATATCTATCTCATTTTAAGTGCAAAAATATTTGAGGATTTCATGCAACGCGAACAGACCTACGGACTGTATTCCAAAATTTATTACTAGTACTAACTATAGTTTTTAGCACTAACGTGCACTATAGATTTTCAGTACTGGCAGTAAATTTTGGAACACAGCCACGGTTTTGCTCTTTGACCAATCAAAACGTTATCCCAAATTGTTTCTTATATCATGAAAGATGGAAGTAACCCGCTGTATCTCGGAGTTTCGTTTTGAAACGTATTCGGAAACTCATCGTTCCCTATTTGATTCGTAAATGTGAATCGAAATCCCTCGGATACGAAAGAACGAGGGCTCCTCACAAATTGAGCTTCCCCTCTCCGGAGCGAGGGGAGGCAAACAATCTGAACGTGCGAGTTTTAGGTTATAAAGGCCAGCATTCGCCAATGTAAACAGCGACGAGGGGGGAGGGCGATTACGCTGGTATCCTCGAATCTGTCTGGAAAGCGAGCCTTATGTATTGGAACAGGACAGTAACCGGCGCTGCACGGGAAGAAATGCCTTTGAGCTCGATTAGCCGTTCCACAAATGCTTCCACCGCAACGGTGGAGGGCGTAAATCCCGGCACGAGCACGCAGATTACATCGACCTGCTGCACTCCGCCACCATCCTATCATAATATCAATTTACCCCTCGGACATCCCTCCACGTTGGCCAACGAACGTGGTGCACCACCCTCGTATGAGGAAGCGATAGATCCTAATGGTATGTTATCCTAGATCTTTGTAGCATATGTACCTTCATGGCTACGTTCGGAAAACGTCATCTGAGTGTCTGTCTATCGATTTATGCTTGTTCTTCACCCAATGTTAGTAAACAAAGATAAGATATTCTGAGACGTCTAGGTGTATCAAATATGTCTATCTCTGTATTTTTTTCCAGCACCACCGCCGTCCTACGATTCTTTATTTGGTCGTATGAGAGAAGCCCGTAAAATATCCAAAGGCATATTTGATTTTTTAAAAAATATTGTTGTCCTGCTCTTAGGCACAAGTAAGATGATATGCTTATTAAATATCGATAATACACGAAAGGATAAAAATAAAATACTTCAGGAAAACCTTGATGACTAGACATAAAATGTGAAATTATTATTTTCCAGTCGGATGTACCATCATTCTTGGAGTAACGATAGTGGTACCAATTTGTATGATGGTGATTGGTGGATTGTACCTTTATGATTGTCCACAGGGTGAATACATTCCTGTATACTTGTTAGTAGGTGGTGGATTTGGAGTATTTAAGCAATTATTAACTTTGTCGGCTAGAGTACGGCAACGTCAAGAAGAAAGAGATGAGGAAAGGATTAGACAATCGCCTACACAAACTCTAATCAATTGTTTTATGCTGGGATGGTTTATTATCGGTAATCATATTGTTATTGCTATGATTTCTAACTCTTCATTGGCAATGTCAAATTTTTAATCATAGGGTACAATTCCAGTATATGTGCATATTTCTCTCTTTCTCTCTCTCTCTATATATACAGGGTGTTTCCAAATTAAATGGCAAAACTTCGGGAGCGTGTAGAGGAGTAAAAAACTAAGAAAAAAAGTCCTATGGACATATGCTCCTTTTTGCTTTGTTTCGCAGGAAATCACGAAAAAAGAAAAAAATATATTTAATTTATTATTTTAATTATTTTATTTATAAACTTTTTAATGAAGATTTTGTTCGAAATGTGCACCTCTTGCAGCAATACAAGCATTGCATCTGTCAAACACGGCTCTTGTAGCAGCCAGGC